AAAAAATATGTAAATAAAAAAACGAATATTGAATACCAAATTTTCATAACGAATACCTACCCATTAGGGAAGGGTACCGAGTTCGGTACTTTTATTGGTACCGACCGAATTCGGCCGGTAATCCCGAGTATCGATTCACGTAAAATCAAACAGTACCACATTTCGGTACCTGAACGAATCCTAGGGACTTCGAGAGTGGAGGAGTGATGTTTTCACTGCCTATTGCGAACGCAGCATTGTACGCACGAGAGCGTGATCACATCAGTGGCAGCTATCAGCAAAGCAGCATAGCTGAGAGAAAGAGGTCGAAGGTGTGGCTCCATATCTCAAAGTTTGATGTAGACTACACTCGCTGCAACATTTGCGACACAAGGCCAGCTACGGAAATACCTCAAACCTGAGGAAGCACCTGGTCAAGCACAAGGTGTTTTTAACGGCTGACGACTGCACAGTATTTGATAGCCTGAAAGTTAAGGCTACTTCTCCCGGCGTTAGCACACCTGCAGCTAGAGGCTCGTGGTCATCTGCAGCCAGCATCGGGGCAGAAGAAGTGGGATTAACATTCGATGATGACGACGGTGATTAAGTGGGGCATCAGCTACATCGGTTCCAGGTAATTAATAAGCTTAGTGTTTAAGATTATTGGGCTTTGTTCTGGTCATTCTAACGTTAGCTTCGCATTTTAACTTGCCTTAGTTATCATTATCAGCTCGGTTCCTCGTATTCTCTAAATTTAACATTACACTCCCCCACACACATTTTTCCCAGAGGGGAAAGAGGAGGAATAGGAGGTAGTAGGAGTGGGTTCATTTTGAGCAATAAAAAGAACTGCTGCATAGTCAATTATATAGGCTACCTTTTGATATTATGTTACAAACAGTGTTAGATGTTGTTTTATCCTTTTTGATATTGAGAAATAAATGTTAGTTTTGACAAAAAAAAAATTCTAAATGATATATCCTTTATTACCACACATACGTGCAAAAAAAGTACAGAAAACAGGTACCGTTGCATACCGCTATCGATTCCCAGGTACCGGGTATCGGTACCATATCGGTTCAAATGTGAAAGGTACCCATCCCTACTACCCATAGAAACGAATATTCGAATATTTGGGTACAGCCCTAATTCAAACCAATCAAAGCAGACTGTTTTTTTTTTTTTGTTTGTTTGTTTTTTTTTTTCTCTCAGGAGGGGGGCTTACAGGGGGAGGTGCTACACAAAGCCTTCTAAGACAGAGGGTGAATACAGGTGTTCCAGCACAGACTGTATGGGGAAAATTAAGTGTTTTGGGGCCTTTAAAGCATGTAAACATGTTGTAGTATAAAATGTAATACAAGTATGAATCTGAAAATGAGCAGAATAGGTCCTATTCTGTTTTACTGATGTGCTTTCAGACATACCAGCATAAGAAAATATTTATAACATACATTAAGTGCTGTCTGGTACTGTTGATAATCTCAAGAGAGACTGGTATTTACAGTTTATGGAGTTTTATTCTGGTGGGGGCAAACCTCTTCACACTTGCACTATTTATTGCACCTTTAAGACTGAATGGCTTGTTTGCTGTAAATAAAATTGTTCCCATCAGGGCAGTCCACATGGTCAAACCTGTTAAACCTGAAGACACGCCTGCTCTGTTCATGTGAACCCAGGCTGACATGAGGACCAACACCCTGCTGCTCATAACAGCGCGAGTGTCTGTAAGGGTGAAGGTGTTCACCACTCTACAAAAAGAAAAGATTCAAACCGACAGAGAGGAGACTCTGAAAGCAAAAGGGTAAGACCGCTACTCGTTTTTCTCTACTCTTAATGGCCGTCTCGCACTTCCTTTCCGAGTTGCTTTCATGGCCGAGGAGGCTGATGGAATTTCATTACTTATGATTGAAAACCAATGGAGTTTTGAAAGCAGAATGAGATGGAAAGGTGCACTCAAAATGCCAGTATACCCTCCAGATGCCAGCAATCTAATTTACTGTCAGCGGTAATAAATGGGGAGCCACCGGATGGCACAGATAAGATGTTATTTCACCATCAGGGTTATCACTTAATATCTGATAATGTCTGTGGGGAGCAATTGTATCCGACAGTTAAAACAGGGGGCCTCAACTCCTGGCACGAGGAATGATCATCAGTGTGGAAGAATTGTTAATCTGTCAAATCAATGTGACTTCACTCAATAAAGTGTTCATAAAGGGACTTAAGTTTAGGCCGCAGTGTTAATGATTCACACTTGCCGAAGATGATTTCTCTTTAATGAAACTGAACAGTTCTGCACACAATATGTTCTGGTCTCTGTCATTTAAAAGGAGCAATGCATATATAGATCAGACAGCTTCATCACACAGATCCATTAGGGTCTGTTTAACAGTACTGATGTCACATTGATGTGTGATTATACAATGGCTTCTGCGTTTTAAGGAAGTGTTTGAAGCAGGAATGTTACTTGGGTGGTTGCAAACATTCCTAAAACCAAAGTGAGATGGAAACAAAACACAGCCTAGTAAGTGCAATTAACAAAGGTTGACTCACAGCTTTTACAGATATAGAAAGAGCTGCCAAGTCTCAACAAACAAAAACAAAATCATGGCACTATGACACTCTGGAAATCAGATGTTGTTATTGTAAACAGAGCCTGTATTGTGAAGCCTGAGCGTGTGGGAGTCGACACATAATGCAGTTCATATTACTCCCAGTGAATTCAGCTATAGCCAATCTGTGACACACGTGCTATCTCACATTCCTGCCATATTCTTCACAGATTTCAGCTATCCTCAAGCCTCCTGCCTTTTGTCGAAGAAAAAACAAAGCAGCATGGGAAAAGGTATGGGCGAAGAGTGGGATGAGAAGCCAAGGGAAACTCAGCCTCGGAAACACGAAGAGACGGAGAGAAGAAGCTCGGGGAGCAAATGTCCCAAGTGCTGCTTGAAGACCAGGGACTGTCTGATGAGCCCAGAGTGCAGCAGGGCACTTCAGATCTCCAGCGTTGTCGCCATGTGTGGAATGTGCCTCCGCTTTTTCGTATGTAAGTCTCAACTGCAGAAGCGAGCAGCTTAAATGTTTTTATCACTACCTGGCCATGATCATTACCTCCTCTAATGTCTGACACAAGGGAAACTCATTCCCTGCTTAGATTGGTAAGAATCTATGCAAACAGAAATATATAACCCTGACATTTAAAAGGTGGGTATACATCCATTTTCTATCTGTGAATACATCTGTGGATGCATACTGCAATTAATATTCCACCAAAGAGATAAAAAAAAAAAAAACTTTATTAATTTTGCATCACTTATGTTATTATTATTTTCCTTTTTATAATTACAGAACCCAACCGTGGACATCAAGACCAGCTTATTCATGTCGTGTTCTCAGCATCTTGCAGCACCTTTCATGACACCAGTGCCATTTGATTTTCTTCTGATCTAAGATGGAGAATAAGCACTTTAAAGCTACAGTGGGTAACTTTGAGGAAAATAACTTTTTGTCATGTTTGCTGAAACTGTCACTATATTCTTAAATAAGTACATGAGACAAATAATCTCTGAAAATAATATGTCCCTCCTCCACTTCCTGCTTCTGATTACATTTGCTAGAATTTACCGAAAACAACCAATCAGAGCTGAGGACTAATTGTTTAAATTGTCAAACGTGGCAGAGCTGATCAAGTATGAATCAAAATTCTGTTGCTGCATTGCCTTTTGCTTGACTCAAATGTTTTCAGAGACATATTTTAGTGTACTGTTTAGCTGTAAAATGAGAAAGTTTATTCCGGCTGGTGTTTTGTTTCAGCTCAACTGTTTCCAACATGGCGGCCAAGTCACAAAGTTTCTCATTTACATTTGAGGCAAGAAATAGGTAATAGAGTAACAGAATCTTGATTCACATCTGATCAGTGCTGCCTAATTTGACTCGAGCAGTGATAGACCGCTACATTACAGATCTGGTTCAAACCCCCAGTTGCGGTTGCCAAAGATTAACTGGGGGTCATGAGGCCTTCGTGATTTTAAGGGTATGTTCAAGGGTGTCATTTTTGTGAAGAAAACTTCATGAAATTGTTATTTTTGAAGTTTAGATTATTATTCAGGACATAAATTTACAAAACATCTCACAGGACAAGGGCACGGTGACGACCTCAACACAGGCTGTATTCACAGAGCCTGCACTCTCTGTTTAACAGCCTCGTCCTGCATAAGATGAGTACGCAGTTTAACAAACAAAGAGCTAATGGAACAATGGCCATGCATCAGAGAGGAGAAACCCTTGAATATATTAAAAAAAAAGGAAAAAAAAAAAAAAGAAGAAGCCTAAAAAAAGTCATCTCAAATCTCAAAACTCACACACAACACAAAGGACCCTGAAGGAAAAGGTTGGGAGCTAACCTTAATGCCATTATATGCACTATAAGGCAATAAAGTAGGCAGTGGAATATGACATTTTTACAGATTATCTGTCTCATTCAGTGATGTGTGAATAAAGTGACAGTTTCAGCAAATATGATAAAAACTTAGCTACCAACTAAAGCTTTAAGTCCACTTTATCTGCTAAAGTCCTGTTTAATTCTCAAGCTATTTATTTAACATTCTCTCTGTATATAGAACAAACTAAAAGATAATCATTGTGAATTAAGGAATGGATGGATGTGATTAAAATGCTACAGTATTAAGAAAATGCAGATGTTTATATGTACATTTATAGTTAAGGGGTTTTCAAAAATATAAAATTAAAGTAGCAAGCAGCGATGAACGGACCAGCAAAACTGAGATGGTGAGATGGTACATCGTTCATATAGTGAGGGTACTGGATCAACCGATCTCTCGTCTGGAACCACTTCCTGTAAATCACAAGATAAATGTCTGACCAGGCTTACTTCCTGTTGCCAGTAGGTGGTGATTTGCGTGTAGATGACTTCAGGCATGGAGCCTTACAAAACAAGTGAAATTTGGTGCAGATTGGACCATGTATGACATAGTTACAATCCACTTCCTGTTTCATGGCGAAACTTGGAAGTTTGACGCCTTGCAGCAGTCACACAGTTTGACGAAAACTAAAGCGTTGAGTAACCTTTGATGTCATCGGCCTTTAGATGGCACACAACAAATTTGAAGTAAATTGGATCGAATCTATAGGAGGAGTTCGTTAAAGTACAACCCCTGGAAATGGCCAATAAAGCACAAAAATTTCACACATAGTTCAAAATGGCTGACTTCTTGTTGGGTATAGGGCAGTGTCAGAAATTAGCAAGGGCCACGGGCCATTTGGCCCGCAATTTATCCAAGAATGCCCCCAAAAGCCATGTTCCGGGGGCCAAAATTGCCCCCAGGTTTTCAAAACAACTATATGTATTTATATTTTTTAACAGTATTACAATCTGACATTAAAGTATAATTTTATTTTCATTAAATTAATTTACCGTCACGTCTACAACTCATTTTCCAGACATAATCAACGAGATTGCACTGATTACGTGAGAGTAATCTGACAGAGAAGGGGAGGGGGCTTTGCTGTACCATAAGTATAAATTAACCATTTCTTGGGTGATCTGTGTCTACACAATGACAAATTAATGAAAAATTAAGGCAGAATGAATGTTAAATTTTAAATTAACTTCCAGGATTGCATCTAAGGAATTTATAGTAATTTGGCCTTTTTAACAGTAAAAGTCACTGTAATGTGGTGAAACATTAGTACTGCTATCAGTGGATTAATGGTTAAATCATCACATTTAAACTGGTTGAATTATAGGAAATCTGAGTGATATTTTGCAACCATAACTTTATATAACCCATTATTTATTTCATTTATAGTGGTTTCTACTGAAGAGTGAAGACACTATCTTAGTTGGTTTTGCTTTTCATGTGCTTATTGTTAGAACATAATTACAATTTTTGATGGCCCCCAAACATTTTGAAAATGCCCCCATTTTTTAGACCGTGGGGGTCAAAATTGCCCCCAAAATATTTTGTTAATTTCATACCCTGGTATAGGGTATGGCTCCAAGAGACTTTTTTGTACATCTAGGTGTGTTACATGTGTCTACCAAGTCTCGTACATGTAGGTGAAAGCAGCGTCGGGGGTTGATTCGTAGAAAATCTGTAGGGGGTGCTACTGAGCCGTGTGGTGCCCAGGCCCTCATAACTTCTGTGTTATAATAGTGATAAAAGACAAGCTGCCAATGTTTGGGAGAACAGTGTAACCTCCATATCCTCTCTTAAAATACGATTAAGATGACCAGATGTTATGGAAGGAAACTGTCACACATCTGAACTAATGAAAACCTTTAAATAAAGCTTTCAGTAACAAGGACAAACACATATTCAATTCAGTCCCACTAATGACAGATAACTGTAATTAATTAAAAGCCGTTGACAAGCATGATGTAACTGTGTGGCATCCTTTGCTGTCAGCATCTGAGGTCATTTGGAAAAAGCTGCTCATCCCACACACAATAAGCAAGCTAACAAAGAAGGTATTCATTTTTTTTTTTCTTTTTTCAATCTGATTTCAAGATGATGACATTGCTGCCTCTTTGTGTGTCGTACAAAAGTGATACACTGCAGGACAAATACATGAAAATCAGGCCTGACCCAATTTGTAGGAGACATTTGATCACCCTTCGTATGTGTGTCAGCACTGGGTCTAAGGTGTCGAGCCTTTTGTTCAAGTATGTGTCTATGGAGCATGGGCGGACAGCCAGGGTTGAGCCATTGTGGGGAGGCATAATACAGTACGTGATGGGAAGAGAGATCTTGTGCCTGGAAACTTAAAAGAAAATTCTCTGTCAACATGCTGCTCAAATCAGTACCGAGATCTCAGACTCACATTCAGTTCTGTTTTGGCATCTGTGTTCCTGGTAAAGAATGAGTAACAGCAGGTTGTTAAGAAAGTTTCTTATATTTCAGATGCAGAGGAAAGGCATCTGTTACTTTGTCTGACCCTGAGGGTGAGAAAAAGAGAAAAGTAGAAATTCTCCAGGATCTGAGTTCTCCTTTTGTATTTGAGGATGCACTGCTCAGATGCAACAAAACCATCACACACTGGAGTTTGATCATTTCTGGGGGAGGGAGGGAGGGAGGGAGGGGGTTTCGGTGTTTACTTTCGTTTAGACTCTGAGACATGAGGAAGGCTTCTGCCGTTTGTCCTGAAATACACTGATTTGCCAGAGTTTCCTGAATCTTTGCAGTAAAAGAGTCAGATGCAAAGTTAGCACGATCCATTAGAATGAGCTCCAGGTTGAAAAATGCTAAAATTTTCATTCAAGCTTCTGTTAATGCCAGACCAATACTTCCTGTTAAAGGTTTTCACCTTTTCTAACCAGTGTAAAGATGTCATTGAGAAAAAACTAGCATAGTAGTGGTAACCAACACACTGCCATAGAGTATTTTGATTTGTATTTATCGCCGTGTCATATATTGTATTTTAAATAAAACTAGCACCTGCAAACTACCTCCCTAAAGTTGTTAATTTATATAGCAGAATTTTAAAATATTTTTATATTTATATTATTAATTACCGCCTTGCTGCTGTATGCCTACGCGACCCAGTCAAGTTGCAGGTACAGTTTTGGTGCTTGTCCAAATGTTTCCCGTTCTGTTCCTGAGTAATGGTGTTGAATAATGGTTAGAAAAGTGTTTTTGCACAACATTATGATGTCACAGTAAAGTTGACCGATTTTATTCTAAACATTTACGTGAAATTCTGTCAAAATTGTGTATGAATTCTTGAGTTTAGGCCAAAAACATGTTTTATGAAGTCACAGTGACCTTGACCTTCGACCACCAAATTTTGAATCAGTTCATTGTTGAGTCCAAGTGGACATTTGTGCCAAATTTGAAGAAATTCCCTCAAGGTATTCTTGAGATATCGCATTCATCAGAGTGAGACAAACGTAAGGTCACAGTGACCTTGAGCTTTGAAAACCAGCATCTTATCAGTTCATCATTCAATCTAATGTACGTTTGTGACAAATTTAAAGAAATTCCCTCAAGGTATTCTTGACATATTGCGTTCAATGAATGGGACGGATGGACAGACAACAGGGGTAGACACAACATGTGTATGGGGTTTGAATCAGTGGTTTCCAACTGCTAGATGGTGGTCCAAAAGTGGATCGTGGGTCCATTCTGAATGGACCGCAAGTGACTCACAACATGTCAATTTTGTAAAAAAAAAAAACAAAAAAAAAACACTTTATTTTGAAATACAATGAATTTCCAGCACAGAGCTTTTATTTTGAAGTGCTGTTTCCTGCTGTAGAGTGAGTGACAACTTGACAAAAACAGAAAACTAATTTGACAACATGGCCAAACACAAGAATTACTATGAATATATTAAACTGCGTGGACCTTGAACTAATGACTAAGGAGAAATTTGGAACCTGCGGCTGGACCAGTTGGGAACCACTGGTTTGAAGCATAGATATCACCACCAGATCTCCCCAGTGGATTACTTACATTACATTTGACATTACATTTTTCTTAAATATTATGTTCACATATGCACATGAAGCATTATCTAGTAAGATATGCACTTACTGGCACACATTTCCAAAACAGAAATCTGATCATTAGGAAAATCTGAAAAAATGTTACAGGCTTATAAAGATTCAAAATTATTTATTTTCCAATTTTGTTAACATGATAGAGTTAGAGGTGCAGGGGGATTTTAGATTCTCGTTTTATCACTCCATAAATCAGTATATGCCGTCAACAGATTTTAATAAACTAATAAAATATTTACTAATCAGGCCAGGAATTATACATCAATACACCCCTCTGTAACAACCTTGAAATTATAGATATGAATAAAATTTTATGGTTAAGGTTGGTGTATGTGAGTCCGACTGAGGTGGAGATTTCTGGCTCAGAGTAGGAGAAAAAAATCTTAATTTAAGATATGCAGTGTAAAGTTATGTACATTTCCAGACCAAAATAAGATGCTACAGTTTAGTAGGGTAAAAGTTTTAACAATAGATATCATCATGAAGCTTCCCCAGTTAGGTTTAAATATGCAAATAGTGCATCATTTAATTAAATATGCGCTTTTTGCATAAATTTCCAGAGCAGAAATCCGAAATTAAACACCTAAATGTGTACTTTGAATGTTTTCTTCCGACAGGTTTGAAAGAAGACATCAAATGGTTCAAAACTGAAATCAAAATTGACCAGTTTATGGTTGAACAAAGGTCAAAAATTATTCTAGTTTTACCTCAAAATGTGTTCTGGTATTACCTAAATGTTTTATAGCACAGCTTTGTTTACCCTTTCCAGTCGACAGCTGATCCAGGCAGAATCATAAAATCTTTTCAGAGATAACCAAACAGGAAACTGAGTGCGGAAATGTAAGAAATAGTTTTCTAGGTCTGTCAGCCGGCCGTCAATGTTCTTCTGGGACTCCCTGGGGGTAGCGGTGACATTTCGAAAACGACCCGGTGGATAGAGCCTGACTGGGAACTCCGGAGAGCTGGATAATAATGCTTTGATCATCTTGTACTTTCTCAGTTGTGCCTTGAATGCAAACTTCAACACTGTTCGAGACATGGAGTATTACAGACCAACCAGAGTAAAACAGCAAATCTTGTTTCTCTGCGATGTTTGAAGCAGCAGTGAAGCCTCAAAAACTCCTGCAATATATATCTTTTATCATCAGAGCTCAAAGACACAACTTAAGAG